AGGGTGGAGGTGCACCATAGGAAGGTGGTGGATGACTTGGAGAAATCACAGGAGACGGCGGGGGATTGAACCCACGAGAGGGCGGCAAGTGTCCTCTATGCGGTGGAGGACCACCAACAGATGGTGGTAAATGGCCACGAGAAGGTGGTGGGTAGGCATGGCGAGGTGGAGCGTGCCTTGGTGACGGTACATGTCCACGACCCGGTGGTTGTGTTGTCGGAGCACTAGGCGGTTGATAGCCAATAGAACTTGGTGGTGGTTGGCTGGCAACAGGCGGAGGAAGGTAACCACCATATTGAGTTGCTGCTGCAGAATATTCTGCAGCAACTAAAGAAAGAATAGTGGTGCTCTGAAGCAATAAAACCAAGGCAAATAAAGTGCTTAGCTTCATGGGTAATGGCTAGCCCCAGTTGTAAGAACTCGATACAATATTGATGGCATATATATATAGTAGTAGTTGACATTCAACAAGACTGAAATAGCTGAGTAGAGAAGACACTTGCCAGATCCACCACATAATCAGTGAATGTCGCATGCAGCGTTTACAAGTCCAAACCCAGACAATCCACAAAGCCTGGATGAAAAAGTGGAAGAGGTTTTGTTTTTACTTTATTTATTAACTAAACTATAACTACTACAGTAGTGTTTCTAAGGCACTTAAATGACCGAATGTTTCTGATAAGTAGAGTGAGATCACCTTCTCACATTCCCAATATTGTTTGTTTGTTCAAAAATTCAATGGACAGCTAAACTATTTGTCTAGTTTTACAACAGTGAACCTGATATAACGGAATCCTAAGTTCTGGAGCCCTAATTCTTGAATCTTGAACAAGTTATATTAGCTTTCGACATCCACACAGAGCAAAAAAGACCAGCAAGATAGAACTGAGCAATCACCACATAATGCCACGTATAATTAGAAGAAATCAGTAACACAAAGGTTTTATAATTTCTTGAGATAAATTAGAAAGGTGGCAAACCTTTTAGCATCAACCACTTAAATAAGATTGCACTGCAATTACAAACGGAGTGTATTTACACGTTAAATCATAGATTGCACGAGCAAATTTAAATAAGATAAATGACCCACCAAGAAAATACAGAGGAAAATTATTCTGGCCTTGAGACCACCGACACAAACTACAGTTAGGTAAATCTTCATCTCATAATACATGGCCCTTAACAGACCGCCAGCTTCCTTCATCGGAAAACATGCTTGGATGATGAACATCACGAACGCCAGCATCTTCTACTGCTCTTTCCCAGCACATAAGCATTTCTGCATAAACCAACCATTCTCAGAATACAAATTACAAATCATTTCAAGTTTACATCATGCATAACTATACAAAAGTATACATCATACATAACTATACAAAAGCTGAAAGATTGTTTTGATCAAGAGACAAGCTTATATTCAACATAAGAGATTACATTTAGATGAAACTTAGGCATTTTTTGCTCGTACAAATCAAATAGTAGCACAACTGTTAAACATGTAATATATTCAGCTACAATATTCACACTAACGAAAAAACAAAAAACGTGAATCATGGAAGCAAAAAAAGGAATAGATATCCCCAGGGAATAATCAACATTACAAAGTACACTTGGTATGCACCTCTAAGGAATAATCCATCGTTTTAATCCATGGTTTCACTGGCAATATGAAGTATCACTTCTAGAGAGGTTAAGTAGCCGAAGTTTGACAAAACTTGTATAGCTGACATTTCATATTCCATGTATCGTACAATCTTATTTTTCTTTTTTTTTTTATCGCTACTTCCATGTACTGTACATTCAGTCTCATGAAATGATTATGCAAGACTTCTTAATCAAAGAGTAAAAAGAAGGTTTGATGTTAAAATCATTTACTTGTAAAATCATGAGAAAGCAGAGCTTTCAGTTCTTGAAGAGGGTTTCAAATTTGAAACTTCCCTTGCTGTAGTATAATTATGTCCGACAGATTGATTTTTCAAGTCAAGACTTTGTATTTCACGAAAGGTAGAGTTGATAAAGGACGATTGGAACATGCTTACACCCTGAAATTTGGAGTACACAGGTAGGGCATTTCACCTTACTTAGTCTGTACTTAGGTGAAGCCAGCAAGGAACTATGGCGTGAGCCTATACATGATTCTATCTTAAGAGAGCATTACTAAACAATAAATATTGCTAATAAAGTAATGCATTAAGTTAGGAACTTTATGGACGAATAAGTTAGTGCATCAACAATAGGAAATTACAAATTTAGTATAAAAGCCAGTCATAAATTGAACTAGAAAATTAAACCGCATCTTTGTGTCTAAATCAGTTATCTAAAATGATTTTTGAACTTAGTTGACAGAAATTTTACTTTAGTTACTTGATTGTCGATTTCAAACCTTTGTTCCATACAATTGTTTTTTCCTTTGTTTTTTCAGAGAGCAAGTTCCATACAATTGCTGTTTCTGGTTTAAAAAAAAAATTCTTGCATTGCATATGTTCATATACTCTTAATCTATGTCTTCCTTCATTACAATACATTCAAATCGACAACAATTCATGAAATGAAGATCTGTGGATGTGCATGCGTATAGGTTTTGCTTCTAAACAAAATCAACTAATCAAATGCAATTTTGGGAAAAAGACATGGAAGTTCTCATTCGTAGAGAGGCTTGATAACTCAGTTCTACAACCTTGACACATCACAGTGTCACTTAAAATCTTATAGAAAACGATGGTTGGTACCTAACAATTTATTTTAATTGTGGAAGTAAGAAAGAAGGATGAAGTATGAGTATGAGAAATGAGAAATGAGAAATGGAAGGATAACTTTGACGCATACCTTTACCTTTCCTAACGCTCAACGCATTTTTGTTTATGACGAATGCTCAACGCATTTCTTATAATAATTCATATTTGTTACATATTACTGGAATACTTAAAAACATCCTTCCTTTACTTTTTACAAATTCAGATACAAGACTCTATAACTAAGTATTTGTTAGATACTACTGGAATACATAATAACACCATTCCTTTACTTTCTTTACTAATCCAGACACAACACTATATTGCCCATCTGTTTGTCTGCTCAAGCTTTTGTAGTAGTTTCTTTTTTGTTGAAAAGAGCCTCCTAAAGAAACTTACTGGGAACACCCAAAAACTTCAAAAAAGAAAAATTAAACTACATTTTTTGTTTTGCACAAAATTTTCCTCATGAAAATCTCTGCACACACTTGCCAAAAAGTTGCCCAAACGCCCTTACAAGCATGATAAGGAATATAATGCACCTTATCCCTTCTCTTTCCTCTTCTCTTTCCTTTGAAGATTGAAAAGTCTTGTTTTAAGTACCATAGTCCACTTTTCTTTCAATCACCCATTGTAAGGTTTTGACAGGTTTTGTCTTCACTCACTTCTTTTGTGAGCAAGGAATAAATACGGAAGAATAAATAAGATAGATATATGTTGAAAATTTGAACCCAATAGGTGGTTAAGAAAAAACCTTGAATCACCAATGTTTTTGTAGCAAAGGGAAGTTAACCAGTAAAGCTTCTGCCTCAGTGTACATATAGGCTTTTGTCATACCCTTTCCCCACACTTAAAATAACACATGCAGCCAATGTATAAGAAAAGGAGAAACTAAAACAAACAAACAAATAAAAAAACAAACAAACAAAAAGAGCCAGCAGTAAGCTAGTGCATAAGGCCCTTTTCCATCAAATATTTTTTATCAGTAAAGAAACAAATTATTAAAGGAAGCTGCGCTAAGATGGTGACATGATACTTACATCCCCAAAAGGCAAGTGTCATCCCTTCTTAATCTCTTCATATGCACATTGAATATTACTACACAAACAAAGCTAACATATATAGTTGATCAAATTTGTCGCCATTCTTTATCTTCCCTCCAAAAGACAATCCCTAATCCCTAATAGTTAAGCATTGTCTTGGCCCAATATACATATGAGTAGCTAACATATATAGTTGATCATAATGATCCCTAGAAACTTAATCGCATCTAGTTTTAGCCAGTGTTATCAAAGGCGCGCTTTAAGCCCTAAAGCGAGGCTCAAAACATGTTGAGCGCTTCACCTTGCTTAACGGGCGCTTCAGTGTTGTCATCAAGGCTCTAAGGCATACTTTTCCTTGTTAACGAGCGTAACCCAAAAGACGTGACACTAAACAATTGATATTTCACTTTATCGTAAATTTTCTTTAATTTCTTTGTCCATATGCTTATAGATATTAGTCTTGGACTACACATACATATTTGTAGTTTTTCTCCATTTGAGCCTTTCTTCATTAAAGCCCACGCTTTATTTGCGCTTAAAGCCCCAACAGACCTTGGAGCTTTTTTGCGCTTTTCGCCTTTGATAACACTGGTTTCAGCAAACATTAAAGCAGAAAAGGCGGAAAGCAGCTTCAGAAGAAAAGGAATTTGTTCTGTGCTGAATCAATAATGGGCTTATACAGCACCTTACTACTTTGAAGAAGAAAGAATAGGGAAAAGATAGAATTTTCACATGAGCATTTTTCTTTGGAACACAGACCCTAAGAAGAGGACCAAAGAAGGAGTTCAAATGCACAATACGGGCGCACGTTTATCCAATGAAAGTTGGCTGTGGGATTAGGGTGAAGAAATATGGATATTCTATCTTTAAAAATTGTTAGTATCCCATGAACCAATGAGAGAGTACACCATACAACTAGAAAGCTATTCAGTAACCTTTGTTGATCTTGAGGGAGTAGTACTCCCTCCGTCCCACATTCATTGAGTCTACCTTGACTTGCAGAGAGATAAAGAGAAAGAAGTGTTGGTTTTGATAGAGATATGTTAAAAACAGTTAGGGTCTTAGGGATGGCAAATGGGGCAGGGCAGGGCAGGGCAAAACCTTAACGGAGCAGGGCAGGGCAAAGTCATAACGGGGCAGGGCAGGGCGGGTCAAAACACATTTTCAGAAAATAATAAATGGGGCAGGGCAGGTGTAGGGGCAGGATTTTTGCTGCAAGCACAAGCAAACAAACTGGAGTATTCTTCACTTGGGTGCGCATATT